AGAGCATGGATAGGGGGCAAAATTTTGCAAAATTTGTAGGCATAACTAAACACCGTAAGGGACTGAGTCACTGGGTTTGAGAGCTGAGGACCATTGTCTCAGGGGGCATCTTGATCAACTGGCAAAGCATAGACAATGCTCTACGCCCTCCTTAGGTGAGTCGTGACTGGGCTCGTGAGAGCTTGTGAGCAGCCATCTATGATACCATTGGTCTCTTCCTGTCCTGAGTGTGGAAGGGTGAAAATGTCACAGACTCAAGGGAACAGTTGGTCCCAAGAACTCACGGACCACGGAGATGCAGGCTCCCAGCAGACAACTCTGAGCTGGGTCACAACATAAAGAACTCACGGACCATGGAGATGCAGGCTCCCAGCAGACAGCTCTGAGCTGGGCCACAACTTAAAGAACTCATGGACCAGGGAGATGCAGGCTCCAAGCAGACAGCTCTGAGCTGGGCCACAACATAAAGAACTCACGGACCACGGAGATGCAGGCTCCAAGCAGACAGCTCTGAGCTGGGCCAACAGAAGATCCTCGACGGAGTGGAAGAAACATGAGGAACAAAATGTAAAATCATACAAAAGATGAGATTTGCCAGTGTGATCCTAAGACAATGCCCTTAGATCCCCCTATACACCTGGAACAGGAAGAGGATCCAACTAACCAGTCCACGGGTCTACAAAGTGAACAGGGACATCGGGAGGAAGGCGCCACTCAGAGCAAACAACCACCTGAGACCCAGAGGGTAGCATTTCCCCCAAACCAAGGTCAGAGGCAGGAAGGAGCAGGGAAGATGCCCGATGGGCAAAGAGAAACGGGGAATCGCGGGTGCAAGTGGGGAAGGTGCTGTTGCATTGAGGAGATTGCAAGAAAACCCAAACAAATCTGTGTGTTAACTGTTGACGGGAAAACTTATTTGCTCTGTAACATGTCACCTCAACCATAATAAAATATTTAAAAAGCAACAGCAAAAACCAAAACTGTAAATTTGAGGGAGAGGGATTACTGCTATGACTGCGAAGAGCCTTTATAAAAATATTTTCAAAAACTGGCTTCCGTCTCTGTTGGAAATGTAAGACACAGGTCTGAGAACTTTGTTTTTGGACTCTGTTGGAAATGTGCTGTAAGACACAGGTCTGAGAACTTTTTTCTGGATGTCGTAAAAAAAAAAAA